AGAAAAAAATAAATGGAAAGCTCTTAAATGTGGAATATCAGAATAGCGCCCCCCCAAAGAGCTATTCCTATATGATGTCTTAAAGTATTTATTGGAAGATTTAGTGAATGATGTAAAACTATTGCACTATAAATAGAAATAGGGAAAAATTCTTTGTATAGTACAATTTTAGTTTTAGAAAAAGAGAACAATTGGGAGATGTTTACATATTGCTTTTTAGTTTAATATAGGTGATATTTACTTTTTTAAAGATGATTTTTTACATTTTGACATGTTCCTTAGTGAATACCTATTAACACATATATCTTGATTTTCTTGAAATATTACTAGCATGACAGTCCCTTGCTCTAGTGAGTTTCAAAACACTTCGAAAACTCCATTTCAAATACCCTGAAAGGAACTAGGTTGACTTTTTTTTAAATAGGTAAATTTAAAATTCCTATGTATTCTCAGTTTTAGACTATCATTTTTTATTTCCAGAGTGAGAGCTAAGGGTACAGAATTTAGACTCCATATGGAAAGATAACAGGTGATATGACTTCTTGGTCCTTCTAGATATCTGTAGGAGTAGAAAAGTCCAGAATCAAAGTTATCTTGTTTTATTCCTATGCTATATAAATTAAATCCCAAGAACTTTTGCAATTTTCTAGCTTACAAATGTTAATGTCTTTAGTCTATTTCTATTTTTTTATCATCTAATGAATTCCCACAGATTTCTAAGAAATTGTAATCAGCCTGATCATCCCCTGCATGTCTCTTAAGAGTCACATTGCAACCCCATCTTCCTAAGACACTGATCTTACCGCAACAATTTCCTGCCTTCACTCCTGTCACCTTTAAGGTGTAATCCACATTTTACAGTGTGGCAGCCACAAACCTTCTCGAGTAAGCAAATAATACAGTCTTCATTCTAATTGCTCGGGCCAGAAATCCGGCATTAATCCTTACTTCCTTTACCACTTACATGCAATTCAATCAGAGTAAATTCACTTCTACTTGGCAGAACAAACTCTTGAGGTGGTCTCACTTTATCACTATCATTTGCCTATCCTTAAAGTTGCTATGTTGTTTTCTGTTCCTGAGCATTTTCTTGAGATTTTTTTTGTCTGCTATGACCTTTCCCAACTTCCCCATTGGATAGTTTCTGACTGAAGGTTCTCAGGTTCCATCTCTTTTAGGAAAATTTTCCTGAACCTGTATATTTCTGCAGTGCCTGACCTTGCCATGAATATAATCCTTATTACACTGACTAAGCCAAAAGTCAATATAGATTTATTTTCTTCTTATTAATGATTAATACAGTTGGGCATTCAGTAGATGCTCAGTGAATTATTGATTTATACACTAAATTACTTTTGCAGTGTACTTCCTTGGATGGTGGGGGTGCAGTCATGATGATATATGTGCCACCCACTCTCTTAGTAAGACCAAAATGCACAGGAATGACTGTCCCAAGTCATTCAAGAAAATCATCCCAAGTCACAAGGACTTTACCTTTGCCTCGAAGACTGGGGTGAAACATCGGGGAATACATCTTGAGGACCTTCTAAAGGGGTTTGTACTTTGTCCAAAGAGAGATATGGTTAGGTGAGTTAGTAGCAAAGTCATGGCGAGCCAAGAATGGATAGGTCTTGGTGTAAATGGGGAGGAAATAGAAAGCAGTTTGTTGAATTAGATAGAATTGAATTTATTCTAATTTAATTGCATATAGGTGGTAAGGGAATACTACATTTCTAGCATGAGTAATTAGAGTGAAGATTGTATTATCTGTTTACTAAAAATCTAAAGTAATAGGACACACAGGGAGAAAAGTGAAAAAAGGGCAAAGAAAATAGAATCAGGCAAGATCTGATTTGGTATGCTTTTGAATTTGAGAGTCTGTGGGAGATCCATATGTAGGTAGGCTTCTTTTTTTACAACAATTTGCAAAGTAAATTGAAATATCATTAGGTTCTTGAATCTAAGTAAAAAAGAAAAAATGATTTTGAAAACCTTTTATTAGCATGATAATGGTGGTCACTATGTCAGTTTGTCACACGTGGAAATACCTTTCGGCCTGATTTATGAGCGTAGTTTGGTGTTATTGTATATGGAGAATTTAAAAGGCAAGAAGTGTTATACTAACAAATTGATACATCTAGTCATGTTGCAATTCTAATGCTTTCCCTAACTTAGTATTTTTAGAAAAGATAAAGGCTTGAGGAAAAGAGTGATTGTCTGTATCTAATTTTCTATACATCTTCAAATAGCATGAGAATTACAAAAAATGGTGGCAAAACAGTGTCTCATTGAATATATTATATTCATACTAAAATTTTAAGTACTATTTACATTGGAAATCATGAGTTTTTTACTTTAAACTATTTTCAAAGCAGTTCATAAGCCTATCTCATTTTTTGCAAGAGTATTCAAAATTCCTTCTATGCATAAACCTAATCACACCAGGCGTGGAAGTATAGATCCAATTCAGAGTCTATGACATTTCTCCTAAGAAGAAAGGCAGAGATACACATGAGTTTGTTCCTGTTTTGATGTGGATATTTTTTGCTCTTCTTTATTCTGTCACACTGCATAAAATATTCCCATTTAGAAAAGTATTTTCTGCAATAAGACTGTTTTAGTTGTCATGACTTAGAGATGAAAGCTCCCAGAATTGAACTGACCATTCTAAGGAAAGTTTTTACTTTCTCATAATATTTAAAAATGGGATTTACTGAATAGTCCTGTTAATGGTTATATTATCTTGGATAATTTCTCTCCAATTTTCTTTGTAAAATCAGTATTCACCACAACATCCATAGGAAAATTACTCTTACCCTAAAAAGAGAACTACTTTTACTCCCATCTTTTCTTTTATCTTGCCTAAGACAGATAAACAAGATCCATTAAAAGAACTTGGGGTTCTTTTTACTGTGTACTTTGCTGTGTATCATGTTTGAAGTTCCCTGTCTCAGATGAACAGACCTGTTTCTAGACCTGGACGTATATAGAACCACAGCCTTTGCTGCTATAGGAAACATGAAATGCACTGTAGCATCCATGCATCCTAAGATAATACATATGATTTAATAAACAAGAGCATCACTGGACAAATATTCTTTATCCCTAAAATGAGTAAAATCTCTGTAAGTGGACTTAAAATATGCCCTGCTTATATTCTAATGTAGATTTTTCTGTGGCAGATGGTGTTGGTGATCTGCCTATGTGTGACCTTTTCCCCTTACTGCTGCAGTTCACACTGCAGAATTTCCAGGGCTAGTTCTTGTATTTCTTTACTTAAGGGATTCTCTAAAAGCAACTTTGCCAAAGAAAGCAGGCAGCAAACCTCAGGCAGTTAATGCCCCTGGGAGCAGCGCTCAGCTACTGAAGAATGAGAGTTGGTGTGTAAATATCTCTTGTCATTCTTCTGGGGAAATGGCATCAGAGCTGTATTCTACATCGGATGTCAGATTTGCTGATCCAAATTATGCTTCAGTTGCCAACAGTTGCCGATAATACTGTCTAGCACAAGACCTTTCAGTATGTATCTCACTTCTTTTCTCCCTACTGGTGGTTTCTAAGATCATCTCCCAAAGAAACATTTTGCACTTGAAATGTTACCTCCAGATTTGCCCCTTTGTAGCCTAAGCTAAGATCCAGAGCTCCCTTTTCCCCTCCTTTTTCCCCTCTTTCCTTCCTTTTCATCTTTATTTTTTTCTAGATTTTTTAGAAAATGAAAAAAAGGGGACAAATAGATTAATGGCTTCTAAAAATGATGATGCCCAACATGGGAAAAGATAATGTTTTGGAATTCAGATGGCTTAGATGCAAACACAGATGTAAGAGCAAAATGTTTGACATCTGTTACTGAAGAAAGTAAAAATATAGTTCTGGTATTACTAATGTGCATAAAGATGTTTATTACAAAGCTGTGGAAGACCTGGACAAAAGAATGAGATATATGTTTCATCCTTCCTGCCCCACCCCATACTGAGGTTTGGACCACGGGTCTTATGCATGCCAGGCAAGCACTCTATGTTGAGCTACATCCCAGCTCTTTTCATTGATTTTATTATTTGAGACACAGTCTTAATAAGTTACCTAGGATAGCCTCCGTTTGCAGTCTTCCTGCTTCTGCCTCTTGAGTAGCTGGGTTTACAAGTATGTGTCAACACATCTCTCTAGTTTTCTCATTTCTGTTGGGTGATATAGCAAAAAGAAATCTTATCCTGTGAAGCTTTCTGCTACTGTTGAATTTATGTCGAAGTACCTTTGAAATGACTCAGTTAAAGGAAGACACATGCTGTTGTGTCTACTAGGAAAAACTTTTTAATTGTGTCTGTTGGGATAAAAATTTAAAAGTCTTAATCAGTTGCTATGTCTGCTCTAGTTATAGCATGATGATGAACAAAAGGACACGGTGTCAAAATGTTTTGCAAAGCAATCAAAATGTAATGAAAATGGAAGTGAATCCGAGCTTTCTCATACTACTGCCCTCTGGCTTCTTAGTGGTGGAGAACAGGGTGTGAGCTTGGCTAGTCTAATTAGTGATAGGGGAGAGCTAGCTGTGCACCTGTACAGTTCACGGGGGGCAGAGGGGTGTGCTGTGAAGCAGCTGTGGCTGTGTTTGTGTTGTAATAGTAATATATCTAGAAGTTAAAATATGAAATTCATCATTTAACGGTACTGCCATTTGCTATTATCTAGCAGTCTGGAACTTTTCCTTTTCTAGGAAAAGTACACATTTTATTATTGCTTTCCTACTGTATGATACCTTCTTCAGCTTCCACTGGAAATAAAACTAGAAGTTTAGGAGATGTTTAGTAATCTCTAAATTATATGTATGGGCTGGGGATATAGCTCAGTGGCATAAGCGCCTGCCTGGCAAGCGCAAGGCCCTGAGTTTGATTCCTGGTACACCCCCCCAAAATAAATTATATGTAAGTGTAATTATTTTGTCTATTAAGTCCAACCATCATCTTATTTTTTTAGTTATATGTGATTCTGTCTCATATTCCCAGGAGAGAAAGTGATAGACGGAGAATTTTAATGGCAACCATATGATTGAAGACGTGTAGTTGTGCTGGGAGATTCCATCAGCTATAGTTGGGCATATTCAGGTAAGAATAAATGACTGCTGTTATACTTCCCATCAATTCCAAAAAAAATTTGGAACCTTAAAATTAATGTTTTTATTTTTACTGAATATTAGAACATAGCTTTATTATAAAAATGCTAAAACATCTGAAAGAAAACAAAATTGAAAGTAGGAACAAAAACCTATTTTTTAAAAATAACTTCAGAAATCATTTGTTCTATCTCCTTTATCACTCTGCTGCTTTTTGCCTCTAAAGTAAGTTGCTGTGACATTGTATGTATTATTTGTTGGTGTTGTTATTGCTATTACTATTAATTTATTTTTGTGCTAAGAATTAAATCTACAGCTTTATACATGCAAAACAAATGCTGTACCACCTAATTACACCCCTAGCCTTCTTCATTATTTTTCAAACAAAATATTTGTATTGAAGTCTGAACCCTTAGTACTTGAGAATGTGAAATTATTTGGAAAGTCATATAACCAAAGACCGTTACATGAGATCATTCTGGATTAATGAGATAAACCTTCAATTCAGTGGTATGAATCTTTAAAAATACAGCGGAAGACCTTGTAAAGATGTGGTCAGAGACATCTTTTTCTCTTCAGCTTGTGTGACGCACCCACCAGTCATACAGGAGTCACCCAGATGCTGTAGTTTGCTAAGAAAGCACAGCTTTTACAACTCCCTGATTTCAGACTTGTGGCTTCCAGAACTGTTGGAGAATAAGTTTCTGTTCTTTGAACCCACTCAATAATCATTGTGGTTCTTAGTTTTGGCAACCACGGGAAACCAATATACCACTGTTTCTGTAGTGTTCTATGTTGTAGACATTAGGCTCTAGGTCTTGTCTACCGAGAGCAGAAATCACAAAAGGCCATAAATACCAGCAGGCAGAGGTCACTGGGTGCCATCTCAGCTACATACTTCATCTGAGCTCTGGATATTCTGATTGTGTGCTGTATTCACATAGATTAACCAAACTCAATAGACCAGAGATTAGAATCATTATCTCACATTCTTAAAGTTATGATCTTTGACTTGTATTTGCTACCTCTGTGATTAGAGTTATGGTTCAAATGGAAAATGTAATTAGTGAATTTAGATGTGGGTGAAATTCTTCTGTCTTAATACACATAGCCTCCATTTACTGTTTTTTTCCGTTCTGTTCTGTACATTTTATCATTTAACCCTGCCTTATCAATCTCATTTCTCTTGTCTTCAGGCTTGTACAATCTCTCCAAAAGTACTAGAATAATCTTTAAATGTTCAAACTTTTTGTGAGGTTTTCTTGTTTTCATCTGTAATTATTTTTCCCACCAGTCAAATAGACAAATAGGCAAAGAATTGCACAGAATGTCTGATTTTATTGATCAGCATAAAATAGGTTTTCATCTATTATAAACTAATGTCAAAGATAAAGAGTGGAAAAGAGAAGAGGCCCAAAACTGAATAAAGTCACTAAAGTTCTATATTAGTTTAAAACCAAAACAATGGAAAGACAAAGAGAATGTGAGGATTGTTCATGGACGAAGACTGAAATTTAAGGGTCATTTTAAGACAAATGTAAGTTCAATGTAAATGTGGGCAAGAGATAGATCAAGAAAGTGTACAAAAAAAGAAAGTGTTGGTTTAGAGTGTGTATGTAAAGATTAGATTTAAACATTATAGTGTGATTTTAAGTTTTTGTTGCCTTAAAAGATATGTTCTTATGGACATCATAATGTATAGGCAGAAATTCTGAAGAACATAGTTGTAACATAAATAGATGAAAACGTGGTGGGATGTTAAAAAGTAAAGGGAAAAGGAGCTCAAAGTCTGTTATTATCTGACTTTCTCCTGTAACAGGTAAGAATAACAACACTCTTGTCTGAAAAGTCTCTAGGGAAATCCTTTGGTGGAAAAAATTTTAAATCATATTCAGAAGCGGTGTCGTGTTTTTTCTGCACCTACATGTAAAAGAACAAACCATTAAGCCACTGAAGAATTTGAAGAAAGCTGTTTTGCTTTCAGTGATGCTTTCAAATTTATACTTAGTACATCTATGTCAGTAAATCATACTCTGTTTTAATCATAGTATATAAACTTCATCTCAATTTTTTTTTTTTTCTGGTACCGGGAATCGAACTCACGACCTTGAGCTTGCCAGGCAGGCACTGTGCCCCTGAGCTAACTCCCCAGCCCAATCATGGTGTATAAACTAACCTTCACTTCTACAGTGCTAAACTTGGTTTTCATTGAGTAAAAAAATGAATATTTATGTATAATGTAATTGTAATGAACGAATTCTTCATAAATTAATTAGTATTTCAGTGAAATAATTGAATGTACCAAGTTGTTGCTCATCAGTATGTTGTTCTCTGTGCTGCAAAGTGGTAATTAATCTGCTCTATACTCTTTGTGCAATGATGGTATCATTTATTATATGAAAACCTTGACTTAGGGGTACATTCTTGTTAAAATGGTTTAATTTACTTTTAGAACATGATGTGCATTGAGAAAATTATTTCAGTGAAAACTTTAAAATATAAATGATAATTTCTGTATTTACATTTTAAAAGAGTGCAATAAATAAGGACAAAGCAGGATTACATTAGTATGTATAGTAGATGCAGAAGTGGAAGTGACTCTCTCAGGAAAAATGACAGTCGTATTTTTTTAAACTGCACAGTTCATTAGGCAGTTGGCTGACAAATCTAACCATTCTCATCAGGTGACCATCTGGGAAACAACAGCTCCGTATTTGTACAAGCGGTCTGTGCTATGTACTGATCACATCTACATTTGAGCAGTATAATTGCTGCTCTTAGATTGCAAGAAGCAGAAATTAGTTCTGGGTATTTAAACAAAAAAGGCATTTGGGCGAAAGGATATAGGTTTGCTCAGCGAGTGAGAGGGTAATCATATGAAACAGTTCTCAGAAAGGATAGGAACCAGACGGTTTCAAGGATCCAGAGGACAGAAGTAGAGAGGGCCTGAAGGGTACTGCTGTGGAGCTAAGTTTGGATCAATAATGTGTTTTAGCATTATCTTCTCACATTAACAAAAGGGGGCCTCATGTCTGACTTTGAGTCATTTGTCCTTCCTGCCTTGGCAAGGAGAGCTTGGTTCCCAACAGGAATTTCAAAGTTCTGAGATCAGAATGAGAAGTGAAGATAGGTGTGGCTAAAACTCTCACTCAGAAAGAAAAAAAGCCATCAAATAATAAAGGCAATAAAATCTCAGATATAAAGATTTTGCCAGTAAAATAAACATACAGATTCAATAACCATGTTGCACGGTTCTCAATACATATCTCCTATCATGAAAAATTCGTATGCTTTTCTTTCATACCTATAGTTATTAATTGCCCACCATAAGCCAATTTCTGTACCTGGCAGTGAACCTAAAGAACTGAATTATTCTTTGCCCTGTGTGTATCTTACACTCAGTGAGATACTGTGTGAGTGAGCTCTGAACTGAGAGAGTGAGAACTGAAAGTTAAGGATTAGTATGTTGCAGGAAGTCTAGGATGTTTGTTTCACAGGGCTACAGTTACAAAGAATTTGTAAGCTCCATGGCTTAAAGGAAAAAAATTCCTTCTCTAACAGTTATGGAGGCTAAGATCTAAAATCAGGGCATCAGGAGGCTCTGTCCCTTCAGTGTTTGTAAAGAAAGACTTTTCCTTGTTTCACTTTTTAGTGACTGTCGGTGTTTCTTCACCTGCGATGGGGTAACTCCAGTCGCTGGATTGGCCTTGTGTTCTTCCCTTTGTCTCTATGTACTCTCCTCTTAGAAACACAGCAGTCACTGGAATTAGGGAGCATTCTATAGTCAGAGTGATTTTTATCTCAACATTTTTGGCTGTTTACATTTTTTTTTTTTGTACCAGGAATCAAACTCACGATCTTGCAGTTGCTAGGCAGGCCCTACTCCACTGAGCTATACCAAGGCCCAAAGGCTGTTTACATTTTTAAAGACCTTATTTCCAAACGAGAAAATATTTTGAAATTCTGGGTTGGCATCAATTTTGCTGAAGACACTGAATAATTGGAGAAGGGTGTCCTTCCTAATATTGGTGTTCCTAGTAGGGTCTGAGTACTACGTGGGCAGAAGAGATAGTAGTGAAGAAGCTAGTGATAGGTGATAATAAAATACTTTAAGAGATTCAACATTGCTCTGAATGTAGGGGTTGTACACTGCTACTGTAGGAAATCGCACGTGTGAAGGACCTAAGCAGATTTGTGATTTACAAAAATTGCTTTGAGTACAGTGTGGGGATAAGAAGAAGTAATTTGAGCAATGCCAGAGAAAGAAAAGCTCTCTAGGACACTCTTCAATAAATCAAGTTTAAAATACTGGAGACATGGAAAAAGAGATGCTGGTGAGATGAGGAGCAATAAATAAAATTCTGGTATGTTGAAAAGTAGAATTGGCATTGTCTGAGTCAAAGGCAGAGAATAATAAGAGAGAATGAGTTGATGGTTTAGTTTGCTAGCTTCTGAGTCTATGTAAAGAAGAGTCTGGAGGCTCTGAGATTGAGGGGTGCGTGTATGTGTGTGTGTATGTGTCTGAGAGAAAGAGAAAGGGAAGAGAAGCAGGGAAACGGGAGGCATTAGGGAACTAAATAATGAATATAATTTTGGATATTTTAGTTTTATTTGCTGTGGAACTGCAAATTCATAAGATCAAAAGGTGGATGTCTAATTGTCCATATAATATGAATGAATTGGTATAAGGAAGTTTAGCATATGAATGATTCATAAAATTGGAGCTATTTGGGAAAAAAAACTTTATATTATTACTATATCCAGTAATGGAATATTGCTAATAACCATATAAGGACATGTAGAAGTAATTCTCCATCACAGGCAATAACCATTACAAAATGATCAGTGAAAGGACAAAACTCGGACATATTTCATCTCAACTCTATACAACTGGCTACCTTTAATGATAAGTACTTCAAACAAATATATTTAAATATTATGGCTCTTTCTGGGTGATTTTAATTTTTTTCCTCTTATTTTAAAGTTCAATGT